TTGTTCCTAGATAAGATTGATAGGTAATGGCGAGTCATCATTCTCATTATACCAGATAGATAAGAATAAAAAAAAAAAACAGATAAATTACAAATCATATTTTTAAATCCATCAAAGGGCTGTGGAAGCCAAGATGACCACATTAAATATAATTCCAAACATAATAGAGCTCTTGCTAGATGAACAGAGATGGCCAAATACTGTCTTCCCTCTGAGGATTTATCATGTTTGAGCATTGCTAAGACACAAACTTGCCATAGACTGAGAGACTCTTCTATGTACAAGTAAAATCCACAGAGTCTTGATGGCTATGTGGGTTGGTGTGATGTGCTGGAATCTAGAAACAAACCACAGCTTTGGCTAGTGTTCCCCACAGGACAACCTCTGAGTTCTTTAGTGTGTGGGCGACTGTGGATGGGACTAGAAATGTAAAGCAATATTTCCTACAGTCTCGCTGGACTTAGAAGGTAATAAACCACTAAAGGGAGAGGTTTACATCAGAAATTTGATATCAAACATGGCTTAAGCCAGCTAAAGCTCTACCTCAGCACTGACCCATCTCAGTTCCTAATCAGATAAAGGTGATCAGCCACTTACCCTCTCTGCTGAACTAAGGAAAGAGTAAACTCTTGCTAGGAGAAAATAACATAAATGATGGTGGAATGTGATGATTATTATTATCCAAAGTATATGTAAGAAGACACAAATTGGTGTGAATATACTTTGTATACAACCAGAGATATGAAAAATTGCACTCTATATGTGTAATAAGAATTGTAATGCATTCTGCTGTCATATATAAATTAAAAATAAAACTTATAAGGCTTGCAAAGAAGTAGGAAAATGTGACAATAACCAAAAAGGAAAAACACGTTAGAAACAGAACCAGTTCCCATTCAGATATTGGTGTTTAGCAGATCAGGACTTTTAAATAGCTATTAAAAACATGACCACAGGGGAGCATGCCTGTAATTCCAGTGGCTCAGGAGGCTGAGGCAAGAGGATTGGGAGTTCAAAGCCAGCCTCAGCAAAAGCAAGGTGCTAAGCAACTCAGTGAGACAATGTCTCTAAACAAAATGCAAAATAGGGCTGGGGATGTGGCTCAGTGGTTGAGTGTCCCTGAGTTCAATCCACGGGTACGCCCCGCAAAAAAAAGAAAAGTCATATGCAGTGATGTGCACCTATAGTCCCAGACATGTAGGAGACTGACGCAGGAGGATCACTTAAGTCCAGGAATTGGAGGCCAAGCTAGACAACATAGCAAGATCCCATGTCAATAAATAAATAAATAAATAAATGGAACAGAAAAACGATGGACAAAATAAATAAAAACATGTATAATTCCAAATTTCATTCTAGAAATAAGTGTGTGTGTGTGTGTGTGTGTGTGTAATTTTAGACATATATAAAATCTGATATTGGGAACTGATTAGGCTGGCAAAAGATTGAATTAGGGAATTCAAAGAAAAGTAACATAAAATATACAAACTGAAGGCCAGACAAGAAAAAAAGAAAAGAAGAGCATCAAAAGATTTGAGGTATAATTAAACTCTCTAAAATGCATGTAATCACAATCCTAGAATAATATGAGACAGCAGGAAGGGAAATAGAAATATTATAGGAGAAAGATAATTTCTGAGAATGGTCATAGTTGAAGAAAGATGCATTTAGGAATGTCTATGAATCTTAAGGAGTATAAACATACAGAGAACTGTATTTAAATCCATCACAATAAAACCTCTGAAATCCATGGATAAAGGTCCTAAAAGCAGTCAGAGTAAGAAGCATCAATAATATTAAGAGTAGGATTTTAAACAGGAACTATGGAAGCAAAGAAATACGTTATCTTTAAGGAGTAGGAAGAAAAATAACCTTGCCATCTACAATTTTAAACCCAGTGAAAATCTTCTCCCACAGTCCAAATGAAATTAATGCATTTTTCAGACACATAATAGCTGGAGAAAATATTGGTATATAGACCTATATTATAAGAAATACTGCAGCAAGTTCTTCATACTAAAGGAAATGATTTCAGATGGAAGCCTGGTATCACAAGGACTGAAGGACACAGGAAAGAATATTCACCTCTAGGGCAATCACTAAAACAATATTACAAAGAGATATAAAAGCTCTGAAGAGGAGATAACATGTAGTAATTCAGAATAATTAATTAAAACATTTCAGTGGCTCCTCACTTCTGATTAAATAAATGCCAAGGTCCTTAGACTAGTAGACTAGGCCCTCCGTGATCTGGCCCCCTGTGCCTACCTAGCCTAATTCTCTTCATGCCCCTTCTAGAATACAGCCATTAGGAACTGCATGTGTCTCCCATAACACATCATGTTATTCAAACCACCTTAGATTTGCATATGCTACTTCTTTACCAGAAACACCCCCCTCTTTTCTTATCTGACTTATTGCAATTTAACATTTAATATATAGCTCAGGCCTAATCTTGTTTCCCTGAGAAAATGTCTCTGAATTTCCATGTGTTTCCACAGTACCCAGTGCTTATCTGTACCATAGCCCTTGTTGTAAACATGATTATATGTTTACTTATCTACTTTCCCACCTAGACTTTTCAAGGTCTTTGAAGGCTGGGCCTCTACATTTTATCTCTGTGTCTCCACCATCCAGCATAGATGCTAGCACATTCCATATCTACCTTAGGGAATGCCAGATACACAAAGGGAAGGCATTCAATATCTAAACGCCTACATGAACATGCATGATTTCAGGATCTTCTAATGGAAGACCATGATATTATTTATGGTATGTTACAATATGCTTCCTCCCTCCACTCCTTTATTTCTAAATGGCACATGAATACCTCAAACTCAACACATTCTAAATATGACCCATTCCATTTAACCCCTATTTGTGTGTCAGACTTAGCAACTGCCTCAGTATCTGAAGTTGTCCATAGCAGTCAACATGGAGGCATTTGTTTTAATTCTGTCCCTTTTTTATCTCCAGTGTGTCTTTTCTTACATTATTCCCTATCGACTTCCAGGTCTCCTTCCTTATCCTTTGAACTCCTCCTCATTCTGTAAGTCCCAGCTCAGATGTGACCCTCACTCTGATTTCCGTCCCAGGCCCCAACCAGGAAGAATCCGTCTTCTTTCTTGGTACCTTTGCCAAACCTCATCTGTGGTACCCTATGTCACATAGTAATCTGTAAAGTCAGTAGTTTGCATCAGTACCTCTCATAAGCTTGTGAGGATTTTAAAAGGCAGAACTGTTTTCCCTTGCAGAAAAGGCACATGAGTGGAAATCTTTTTTTAAAAGGTAAATGAAGAAAAGCTAAAGAAAGAAAATTTAAAAGGGAAAGAAAGCATGTTTAAAAAAAAAAAAACATGGAGAAATTACAAGAAAATATAGTATAAGAAATTTAGTTTAAATTGTTTTCTTTGTAAATGTTTTTCACATGTTTTACATATTGTGATCTAGTCATCACCTCCAACCCCCAACATGCACATCCTCCCTGCCTATAAGCAGAATTCATCTACATCCTCATCTGGCTGCACAGTATGAAAGGTCCTTTGTGAATGGAATTTGCTTCTGTTTACCTGTCTCTCTCTCACCTCACTCACTACCTCCTGCTGTGTATTCATCTTGCATGAATTCAGACTCCTTGCTCCATCCTGGTTTTCTCCTCTGTGCTTACCCTGGGTCTGAACAGTCTATATAGCTTCATCCTGGTTCTCAGAATCTTTTGTTAATGTCTGTTTCCCAGATGCTCCCAGTCTGCATCTCACAAGAACAAGATACCTACCCCCCCCATATTCATTATTAAAGATGGATCATCCTGATGAAAAATGATAGGGGGATATATTGGAAACCTCATCAGATACACTTAAAGGTTATTTAGAACCATAGTTAATGGCTGCACATTTTTTTAAGAGAAATGAGCAGAAGCCACAGATGACCCTCATGACAAGCAAATTATTACAAATTTAGCAAAAAGAAACGTTAAGAAAAGATAAAAGGAAACTGATGATAAGTAGACTGGAAACTATGGTGATGGGGAATGACAGATATACTTTGCTCATAAGTGAAATTTCAAGCAAAAATAAATAAATAATGGCGAGCAGCTGTTCTCCCTTTCCACAGGGGACCAAGAGAAAAGGAGAAGCTCAAACATCCACAAGTGTGGACATAAGGAAACACCTTTCTATCGCAGTGATTTTTATGGTTCAAGGAATCTGATGTCAGAAGATTTGGAAAGCTGAGAAGCCACAGATCTCAGACAGATGCCATGTAGTTCTGATTTTTTGACTGTTGCAGGTTGAAAACTTACACTGTTCATTAATTATTTTAAATGAGCTCCCCTGAAGTGTGCATATGCTTTCTAAGTGCTTCACTGAATATCAGATTGTGTTACCTGTGCTCCCATTAGGGCTCCCCATTGTGGAGAAATTTTCATGCAGAAATTATTCTTTAAATTGTTAGAAACTCAAAAAATTAGAATAGTCTGAAAAATTGGGTATTCTTTTGCACATCTTGTTTCAAATCTTCAGAGATCATTCACTTGTATTTTCTAAGTTAAGTTTTCTTGCCCTCTCTTATTAGCCCAGCACTGCAGCTGGCAGCCTCTGAGACAATACACTTTAAGTGGCCTCTATTTTTAGAGACATGAATAGAACAAAACCAGATTGCCAGAGATTCTCTTCTAAAGCAGTCTCATGATGCCTCATTTTCTGGGACCAGTTTTGAACATTAAGGTTATTTTGGGGAGAGAGGTTCTCATCCATAGTAGATGCATAATACAAGTTCATGGCATTCTGACTTCAGAAAGGGACAAAATAAAAATATTCCTTTTTTGAATTCCAGCCTGTTGACTTTCCTGAGACCACAGACCAGCAGCTGAGCTATAAATCTCAACAATCAAATTACCCACTTCATTTCACTATAACCTACAAGGCAAACATGCTTTTCTACTTTATATTTTAAGATTAGTGGAGAGAGAGAGTGGAGGTGTATGATGACTGAGGACTTACTTTCAGAAAGTAAAGGAAGCTCTGGAATTTGGGGATGTTCCTCCTCTGGCTCTTCCCTAAAGTATTTCTCAAGGTCTAGAAGGAAAGAAGGTTTCTTCACTTCCGGCAGCTCTTTCAGCCCTCGGATGCTTAATGACCTAAACGCACCTTCAAAACAGCAGGCTTTAGGGAAAGACATGGGAAAAGGACAATATCATTCATCCCTTAGAAGAAACTAGTACATTTTCAAGTTTACTTTTTAAAACTGAACCTTCCTGTTACTCAGCTGGTACAGCTGCAGTGATCAGCAAACACTATAAACACAGCTGTTCAAAATAAATCCAGGGTCCTTTCTATTCAGAGGGACCAAGATGAACTCAAGACTTCCCTTTCATTTATTTAATTTTTTTATTTTACTTTTTTTTTCCTTGAAAATGAATATTCTGCAGTTTGGAAATGTTTCAATTTCTCTTTTATCTACGAGAAAATTATATATCTTTTGTGAAATGGAATCTATTTACTTTTCAGTATATTTTTTTTTTAAAAATCTATAATTTTGAATTGGCAGGTATTTTTTCACTCCACAATAATGTAAACCAGGGCTGTGTCACTGTATTTATTAAACACACAAAAGAGATGATGGGAATTCATTTTAATCAGACCCTTAAAATCAATGTTTTGGACAGAATGAAAAAAATGGCTTCACATGTAAGTGGGTAATGGTATAGAAATCAAGGAAAGCTTAATTCAAGATATGACTTTATGTTGTTTATTAGCTCTGGGAAGATAGAAACTGTACCTTTGTCATTATGAGGCTCAGTACTTAGGGTAGGTTTGATAGTCAGCACCTGCTATGAAACAAGTCCTGTGTAGCTTTTGGATCCTGAGGCAAGAAGGGTTTTTATTCATTTTCATATTTTCCTCTTTAATCTATTTTTTATTTAAAATTAAATTATATTCATTAAATTACAAATTTAGCAAAGAGGAACTCTGAGGAAAGATAAAAGGAAACTGATGTTTCCTTATTAAAGTAAAATTAAATTAATTTATTAACTGATAAAATTTGTTTTAATTGGTATATAAAAAATTATTCTGCATATTAATGGAGTACCATGTGATGTTTGATACAAAAATAAATTGCATAATGTTTAAATCAAGCTAAACATATCTATTACCTCAAGTGTTTATTATTTCTTTGAAGTAAAAACACCTCAAATTCTTTCTTCTGGTTTCATGAAATATACAGAACACCGTTATTATCTAGAGTCACCTTCCTGTGCAATAACACACCAGAACTCTCCTTCCTGCTGACTGTAATGCAGTACCCGCTGATCACCTTTTCCCCATCCCCTACCGACCTCCAGCTTCTGGTAACCCCATGTTATTTCCCCAGTGCTGGTGGAACAGGGTCCTCCCAGATGACAGGCAAGGGCTCTAGTTACAATCCCAGTTCTGGTAACCATCATTCTGTCATCAGATTCTATGAAATCAACTTAGATTCCATATGAGTGAGGTTATGTAGCACTAGTCTTTCTGTGCCTTGCTTGTTTCACTTAACATTAATGGTCTCCAGTTCTACTTAAGTTGTCAGACATCATTTCTTAAATGCTTTAGGGAAAGTGTCAACATTCTGATGCAATCTATTTGGGGAATCACAAGAAGCACTTTACACATGTCTTCTGGCTTACAGTTGCATCACTTACATGCTGTATAGCCTTAAATAAGTTACTTAATATCTCTGAACCTTACTTTCTTCCTTTGTTTAATGGATACCATAAAATCTTACACTAGGTTTTTTAAGAAATACAGACATTTCTGGCATACAGAAGAGCTGTTTCCCGGATTCACACTGATTTATAAGATAACAACATAAAACTATATCAACAGTGATTACTTACTGGCTGATTTTTGTATAGTTTCATCATAATAAAGTTTAGGTGTTTTTTTCTTATAAATATCTCTTTCCTCATATTTTATGTCTAAATTTATATCTTCTGATAGTTTGACACTGGAAAGAAATAATTCATGATGAAATAAAAAATTAACTACAAGGACAGTTTGTGGCAATAAGTACATATTATACTTCTACCAAAAAAAAAAAAAAAGTCAGTTTCTGTGTACTTAAGTAGTGACATCTATTTACACTAATCAAGCCATACCTTTGAATAAAATACTTGCTAGCCAGGTGATGATATAAAAGAGTGAGAACTACAGGCCAAGAGTCTAGTTAAGCAAGAACTCTGTTCCCATAACAACTGGAAAGTCAGAAAAAAAAATGATGCAGAATGAAAGTTTACAGAAAGACACACACATCCTACAATGAGTAAATTAATTACAAAGGCAACAAGGAACAAGTAGAAGTGATCCATGTCAAGTCCTCCATCTTCACTTAAGGTATCCAAAATGCAAATGTTCAGTATATTTAGAGCTTACCATATGCATCTATTAAAAAAAAACCTTTAGAATAGTTGAATCCACAGAAAAGATTTTTTATCAACAAAATGTAGGGAGAGAGGGAGCTCCTTATTTAGCTGTATGAAAATTCTGTGAGAAAAAAAGAAAATAATCTCAAATACTTAATATTCATTATTATAGATTTCAAACTTAACAGCCATAAGCTGGTGGTTGTCAAAAATCATTATTAATGTCTAAGGAGCACCAGACCTAAAAACACACCCATTTTCCCCAAGCCCCGGAGAGCCATGGGGACCTTTGCCTGCCCGGGTCCTTCTGATTCCCTTCTCTGCATGCTTTGGCTCTTCAAGACTCTCTTTCATCCTCAACTCTGCTTCATATTTTGTAGCTGTAGGACCTTGAGATATGTCTTATATCCTTGACCTTAATTTTCCTTCTATGCAATGAGATTTTGCTGTGGTTTACCTCCTCCTTTAGGAGGTACAATGGATGAAAGATGGTGATGTACCTAATACATAATATTATTCAATAAATGTTAATTGCCCTCCTTCCTTTTCCTCTACTCTATTTTTACTGTATCTCACAAATCCAGCTTAAAATGTCAATACAAGCAAAATTAAATCTATGCACTCTTAACATTAATATCAGACGCTATATATACAGCTTGAAGTAAGAATTTATTGATTTTTTATATGCATAAACAAAATTTTCATTTTAGAATTCTTTTTGAGTTTACAGAAAAGATATGACAATTGTTCAGAGTTCTGGTATACCTCTCACCCAGTGTTCTCTATTGTTAATATCATTTATTTATTGATTTGTAATAAATAATCTCAAATACTTAATATTCATTATTATAGATTTCAAACTTAACAGCCACAGCTGGTAGTTGTCAAAAATCATTATTAATGTCTAGGGAGCACCAGATCTAAATAAATAATACTTACAATTTTCTGGGGGAAGGGTGTATTCTTAACCCAATAACTGCAAGGCCTAACTACATCATAGCCCACCTTTCCAGTGTTCACCAACTTGGTATTGTTACAGATTCCTTATTTATTTATTGGTACAGGTGATTGAACTTAGGAGCACTCAATCACTGAGCCATATCCCCAGCCCTATTTTGTATTTTATTTAAAGACAGGGTCTCACTGAATTGCTCAGTGCCTCACTGTTGCTGAAGATGGCTTTGAACTCGTTATCCTCCTGCTTTAACCTTCTGAGCCATTGGGATTACAGGCTTGAGCCACTGGGCTGGGCCTCTATTGTTAATATCTTACCATTTAACCCAATTAAAAAATCAAATTGGTATATAATGAGTAATCAAATTTCGAATTTTTAAGGGTTTCTACTAGTATTTTCCTAATTTCCATGTTCTGTAATAACAAAAATGTTCTACTTCATTATCTGAATCCTGAGACTTCTCTGGCCTGTGACAGTTTATTGTACTTTTTTTGTGGATCATGATCTTGACAACTGTGAAGAATATGGGTCAGACTTTTGGTATAATACCTCTCAATTTAGGTTTGCCTGACATTTTTCTTAAACTGGTATCATTCATTATTGGGAGGAAGGCCACAGAACGCAAGTGCCCTCATCACATCCAATCCAAGACATGTGCTATCAACCTGACTCCCCACTGCTGATGTCAGCCTTGGTCACCTGGCCAAGACTGTGTTTGCCCATTTTGCAGTAATAACAGCTTACAGCACCCACCTAAATGTTACTTTTTCTCTGGAAGCAACTTAACCAAACACAGCCCACACTTGAGGAGAGGAGTTAAGTTCAGTTTTTAGAGTAGGCAGAGTACCTACATAAGTTATTTGGAATTACAGGTTTTTTTAGGAGGGTTTTGCTGTCCAAAAGCCTTAAGGTAGGTGGGTAATTTTTTTCCCAAATCATGCTGGATTGGCCTCCCTCACAATATGCCATCTCCTATAAATAATAGCATGCTATTTAGCCAATGTCTGTGCTTTGAAAACAGAATGATCATTTTAAGAAAGTAAAGGAATCTGTAACAATAACAAGTTGGTGAATACTGGAAAGGTGGGTTATGATGTAGTTAGGCCTTGCAGTTATTGGGTTAAGAATATACCTTTCCCCCAGAAAATTGTTGATGAAGTACAAAAGGTTTGGGAGGGTGGGCTAGAAGCAGGAAGTTCCCTTTTTTGACTAGTTAACATCAGACCTTGATTTTCCCCAAAGCCCACAGAACTCTCGCCTGCCTTTGGACTATTTGCTTTCTGGCTGACTCATCTGGTGGTGTCTAAATTAAGTATCTTGTTGTAAAAATAAAATATTTTGTCTTAGCCACAGCAGGATAGAAGCAGGCAGGGCATAAAAGAATCTTCTTGGAATTATAACAAATTGCACTACTTACTTAGATGGCTGCCTGTGAAATGTGGTTAGATTGATAAAGCTGCAAGAGAAAGGGAATCTGTCCACAGGACTAGATCAGAAGGCCAACAACAAAGTGCTTTCTTCACATAGACATCGACATGGGGGAGTGGTTACCATGAAAGTGTGTTGGGGACTGAGAAGAGGTGATCGTTCCTAAGAGTAGATGTCATGGAGGAAGATAAAGAAGAAGAAGCATGCTGTGAAAGACTTAAAGAAAGTTCTAGGGCTTTTTGGCAAAAATACCTCATATGTAGGGCCTGTTGTGGGCTCTGGCAACCTTAGCACCAATTCTGTGAGAAGGAAAGACTGTAGCTGATCTCCCTCCTCTCAGCTCTGGCTGCAGAGAGAAGATGATGACAGATTGATGATGACTGTATTGCCCTACTTAGCAATAAAAGGAAAGTGAAAGGACCTTGAGTGGTGGCTTTCACATATTGGGTCCTTGACAAAATACCGGATGACTTGACTGTGACACACCAATTTTTAAGGTTTTTATATGATGCTTGTTGGACAGCAGCACAGAGTGGTGGCAGAGGGCTAATTCAAGCCAGAGTGCCTATGTTTGGATTTGATCTACTCAGAACCAATCACACAGCTTCTCTCTGCTGTGGTTTGCTGAGCTGTGAGATGGGGATGATAATAACAGCAATTGCCTAAGATTATACTGAAAATTAAATGACTTAAACACATGAAGGCCTTAGAACAGTGCCTGGAAATGGTCAGAGCTCTATAGGGACTGGCTACTATTACGTTCAAACAGAATAAGATGATACTTTTCCCTCAAAGCGGGGCATTCCAAGAGCCCCCTATGAGCCAGTTCTAAAACACTTGGGAGATACCATTAAGACAAAAAGTAAGAAGATAAGGCACTCCCCCAAATAATAACTTCCTGCACCTACCTGTAGTTGTAAGCCTTAAATTTCAAAAATTAAGTAGTCTTTCATTTGTCATACCTGAGCATAGGATAATTATTGCCACAGATCGTTGGTAAAAGCAGATAGTCAATCCCTCAGGTGTTTTATTCAAATAAGGTCTAGTTTGAAATGAGATTTGAATGTTACATATTTTTTCTTGAAGTTGTCCATCCATTTTCTAATTCAATTTTTCTCACAATATATGCTGACAAATAATTAGGTTATCAATACCATACAAGTACTTTTAGGTGTCAGTTCTCTTCTAATAACAGTATGGAATTCAGAACGCTATAATTTAACATGGTTAAAACACCTTAATTGTAAGTGTGCCTTAAGCGGTCATGTATCAACTTGCTCAGAAATTTGTGTAATTTCTCCTCTGATTATTTATCCTGGTTCCTAATAATGAATTTATTTCTGTTAAGCAATTTTGTAAACTGTAAACAAGGGGAATGTGTCAAATAATAGAAGGGGAAATAGAAATGATCTTTGTTGGCCTAGAATAAGAATAAAGATCAATGAATGAGAGTTCTATGACAGGATAGGCCTAACTTAACATTAGAATCATTCTGTAACAGAGTGTATGACAGTGAATGAATTTACTACATAGAAATTACTCAAAAAGAGACTGGGTTGTGCTTTTTAAAGATGCCACAAGAGTTAGTCTGGCACACTTCTAATATCCCTTTCAATGTTATTATTAATTTACTGAAATTAATAAACATGAAAAAATAATGTTTACTTTGCAAACAGAGAATCCAATTTAAAACAATGATATCTCACTAGTAGTTTTAAGAAGACAGTAGCATCCAATCTCAATTCCAAGACAGTAAAGCAGCCAAAAATTTCACATTTCTAGACAGCGGTTTTAGTGAATGTTGCAAAGACCTCTAAATCTTGTGATTCAGCACTTCCACTTCCAAGAATTTACTCTAATGATGAATTTCACTGGGTACTCCAAGATAGGCCCACGAAGAAACTTAAAAAAAATGTTTTCCCAGTTAAAATGTGTAAAAGCTATATGATAAGCACTGGGGATATAGCTCAATGGTACAGTGTTTGCCTAGTATATGCAAGAACCTGGGTTCAATCCCAGTACCACAAGCAACAAAAAGAAAGCTACATGAAAAATTTCTAGGAAGTCATTATGATTATTGATATCCATAGATGCTCACATTAATTAATACAGAAATGTGTTCACTATATTTAGTAAATTAGTATATTGCTAAATTAGCATATGCTAAATTAGCATATTGTTTAGTCACTATATTTTTGAATG